ACTACTAAAATTAAAGCAAGAATAAATGTCCCAGAAGAAAGCCTTTGAAAGCAGGCTCTGACATTTTGCTAGTCTGTGAGCACATTTTAAAGCAGTTGCCATATTAAGCTACTTTAGAAATTACTGATTTCGGATATTAACAATAACATTTTAATTACAATTGCATTTAGGATAAAAATGATATCAGTTGGCATAATAGTATATTTATAAGAGCATTTCTTTAAAGCAATTACATATTTGGTGTTCACCTCTCTCCCCATGAAAACTGTGGTATCAGTTGAACTCGTAAGGGGTCTCTTCAGTCGGAGAGGGGCAAATCCGAAGTCCATTTTCCAAGCTTCACTTTATACATTTTAAATCTTATCAGATTTTAAGCAGGTGAAACAACATAAATGATGTGCAAATCAGCCATTCCTCCTTTGGTTTTCTTTTACGCTTTCTAGAGGAGAAGGTTGAAACTTAGGTTTTTTTTTTTTTTTTTTTTTTTTTTGAGACGGAGTTTCACTCTTGTTTCCCAGGCCGGAGTGCAATGGCGCGATCTCGGCTCACCGCAACCTCCGCCTCCTGGGTTCAGGCAATTCTCCTGCCTCAGCCTCCTGAGTAGCTGGGATTACAGGCACGCGCCACCATGCCCAGCTCATTTTTTTGTATTTTGAGTAGAGACAGGGTTTCAACATGTTGACCAGAATGGTCTTGATCTGTTGACCTCGTGATCCACCCGCCTCGGCCTCCCAAAGTGCTGGAATTACAGGCTTGAGCCACTGCGCCCGGCTGAAACTTAGGTTTTTTATGAATTGTAGACCAGTCTTTCATGCATTATTGCTATAGAACCTGAAGAATCTATGCCTGATAATTACCCACATTATCTTCATTTAATTTCTTCACAGAAACACAAGGGAGACCTAGATTCAGAATAGGTGATGAGCTAGACCTGTGACATTTGTTTTATTGAAAGACAAAATCCAAAATTCAAATCAGTGAGAAAGGGGGAAAAAAACAGACGTCCTTCAGATGTGACAGGTGTTACGTGGGGGTAGCAGTGGCTGACGTGTCCTATTCAGCTAAAAGGGTCAATGTCAGAGGGGGAATAAATAACTGCCGCCTGGCAGGGAGTGGTTTCTATGGAGGATTTAGCATTTCCCCTTTTGACCAGGATTATAGAATAAAGAAGATGCTCTTTAAATTTCTGGACGCCACTAAATTTAAAAGCTAACGTATTTTATGAAGATGAGTTAGGATGAGAGAAGGGTTTGCCAGATAAAATACAGGATACTCAATTAAATTAGAATCTCATATAAACAGCAAATAATTTTTTAGTATATAAACAATTATAATTTTTAAGTGTGTTTCAAGCAATATTTGGGACATACCTATACAAAAAAATTATTCACTGCTTATCTGGAATTCAAATGTAACTGGGTGTCCCGTGGGTTTTATTGCCAAACCTGGCACCCCTTGATGGGGGACTTGTGGGAGAAAAGAGAATATCTGCTGCTGTCTGCTACAGGCCATCTTTTCCCTTTCGGACACCCTTCTATTTTGAGAGAGAGAGAGAGAGAGAGAGAGAGAGAGAGAGAGAGAGAGAGAGAGAGAGGGGGAGCGCTGCTCCCCTCTCTCCTTTCTTCTGCCTATTAAACTTTCTGCTCTTTAACCCACCCACGTGTGTCCATGTCCTTAACTTGGCCTGAGATGACAAATCCCAGGTACTTACCCTAAACAATGATGTTGCTTTATTCGGTGTGGTGACAGGTGCCAGTAGTTCTAGCTACTCAGGAGGCTGAGGTAGGAAGATCCCCTGAGCCCAGGAATTTGAGGCTGCAATGAGCTATGATGACGTCACTGCCTCCCAACCTAAGTGACAGAGAGACCTTGTCCTTACAAAAAAGAAAAAAAAGAATAAAGAGCATAGAGGAGGGCAGGGAGGTTGGGGAAGGGAAATGTGAATCCACTTGTACATACACAAATCCATTTGTATGTATGCATTCTTTGGGAAGAAGAGTACATATCTTCTATTATATTTTAAATAATTAAATTTATTTTTTCTTTACTTTTTTTCATTTTTATTTTACTTTGAACCCTGAGAAGCTATATATTTTAAAGAATTTTATACAAACCACTGTGCAGAGTAAAAAATATATCTTAAAAAAAAATTTTAAAGATGGCTTTGGCTGAAAGTTGGACAGGTAAAATGAACTCGAAGCAACAGCTGGAGGCCCAGCACAGTGGGCACATCTATAACGCTAATATATTATTTGTTGTGTGGGAAGCCAAGTCAGGAAGATTGTTTGAGGCCAAGAGTTCAAGACCAGCCTGGGCAGCATAGCAACACCCTATCTCATTTTTTTTTTCAAGATGAGATCTTATTCTGTCACCCAGGCTGGAATGCAGTGGCACTATCTCAGCTCACTGCAACCTCTGCCTCCTGGTTCAAGTGATTCTCCTGCCTCAGCCTCACAAGTAGCTAAGAATACAGGCGCACACCACCACACGTGGCTAATTTTTGTATTTTCAGTAGAGATGTGGTTTCACCATGTTGGCCAGGCCGGTCTCAAACTCCTGACCTCAAGCGATCCATCTGCCTCTGCCTCCCAAAGTGCTGGGGATACAGACGTGAGCCACTGCACCCAGCCCCATCTCTATTTTTAAAAAGCAAAAGAAATAGTGGGAAAAAACTTGCTTCCTTTTCTAAGCAATGAGATGTCATGGTAGCATATTTTTCTCATGACAGCCCTATTGGTTCCTTACCATTTCTTAATTCTTAAAGGAATAAAATATTGTTTTAAATAAATCAAGGTTTACTGAAGCACACTGAAAATCTTTGTGTTCTCTTTGCTTATTCAGATTCAGTATATAAAGCAAAGGGAAATAAGAAGATAATGAAAAATTTACCTACTTTATGCTTTCACTCATGGTCAAGTACCCTTGTTTACCTACCTCAGATTAATAATTGCTCCTTAGTAAATACCAAGGCCTTCTGAAAACAAAGACATCCTCAATATAGCTTTAGAGCCTGGTTCTAGGGTGAAACAGCTTTAGAACACCTGCCAACAGTATTTGTCATAGAAATATAATAGAATGCTTGACATACTTTGCTCATGTGATTTTCTGTCTGAGGACAAAACCTCTATCACAGAAAACATAACACCTACACTCACCAAGAATCTAGCTGGGATGGGAGGGGAGGTGGAGGTGAACTTCACAAAATCTAGAGATCACACATTTCACACATTCCAAGTGCTGAAAATAAGTGTTCTTGCACCTCCAAAGTTATTCTCACAAAACAAGGTGCAATGATAAGTTAACATCTAGGTTTCAGTTACCACTTAGCTGCAGGAGAGTTTAAAAAATTATTACATTTATGAAATTAGATTTAATAAAAAATTTCTTATAAACAAAACATAACCTTAAAGAGAGCCTATATATTGTCATGTATCATGGCAATCTGTAATCAATTAAATAACTTAGAGACCAGTGACCTTTTGTTCCAGTGAATTGATAATCATAAATGTATACATTTTCCAATACAGTCTCCTCATTTAAAAAATATACATTTTTTCATAAGCAGAAGACTCAAAATAAATGTTCTAGTTTTTTTTTTTACCATTTTTCACAGTATAAGGCACTTATTTTTTATTTTAATATCATTCCCTTTTTTTTTAAAGGCAAAGGAACCACAAGTGAACACACTAGTCATGACCCATCAGAATAACAAAATGCTCATCTACAAAAACATTTCCCGATTTCTTTCTGAACCTCTTCCTACTGGGAAATACTGCTGTTTGCTTAAAAAGTGGTGAGAATATATTATGATTCTTCCTTTTAAAAAATTAAATTTGGATACATTTAAGGTATACAAGTGCAGTTCTGTTACATGGATATGTGTAAAGTGGTGAAGTCCAGGCTTTTCCTTCAACCAACACCAGAACAGTGTACATTGTACCCATTAGGTAATTTCTCACCCCTTACTCTCCTCCCACCCTTCTGAGTCTCCAATGTCTATTTCACACTCTATGTTCACAGGTATACATTATTTACCTCCCAGTTATAAGTAAGAACATGAGGTATTAGACTTTCCACTTCTAAGTTATTTCACTTAAGATAATGGCCTCCAGTTCCATCCATGTTGCTGCAAAATACATGGTTTCATTATTTTTTATGGCTGAATAGTATTCCGCTGTGTATACATACCCCATGTTCTTTATCCAATCATCCTTGGATGTGATTTCCTTTTCTTAGCATATTCTTGGGGTACTTCTAAATCAGTTCTTTTACTTATTAAGTTTTTGGGGAAGGCAATTTGGTAAGTTTCATTTTCATTACTTTTACATCATCCTTCTGCAAAGCCATGTGCCACAATTCAGAGCATTTTTTGTGTGTAAGACCACAATAAGGGCTCCTTCTCATTTGCACCTGGAGAAGACCCCATCCTGGAAATGAAGCCCTCTGTCTTTATGATCCAAGTGTCACCACACGCTTTTATTTTTGTTTTTTATTTTTTATTTTGGGGGGGGGGGAGACAGAATCTTGCTCTGTTGCCCAGGAGTGCAATGGCACAATCTTGGCTCCCCACAACCTCCATTTCCTGGGTTCCAGCAATTCTCCTCTCTCAGCCTCCCGAGTAGATGGAATTACAGGTGTGCGCCACTATATCTGGCTAATTTTTGTATTTTTATTCTTTTTTTTTGAGCCGGAGTCTCCCTGTGTCACCCAAGCTGGAGTGCAGTGGCGTGATCTCGGCTCACTGCAGCCTCTGCCTCCTGAGTTCAAGCGATCATTCTGCTTCACCCTCCTGAGTAGCTGGGACTACAGACGTGAGCCACTGTGTCTGGCCCAATATGTGGTTGTTAGTAGCTATGACCTTTACTGAACTCCTTTTCTTGACTTCCTATACCTACACCTGCCTGGGCTATTTTTGTATTTCAGCAAGGGGTTGTGTGCAGCTGCTGTTTCTGGCAGAAAATAAAAAAAGAGTGCAAGTAAAAAGTGAACGGAACAGGAAAGACCGTCATTTTTTCTTTATCAAATCCATGAGATCGTCTTCTATTCCTTTCTCACTCAGCTCATCCAGACTGTAGTATCGGTGAACAATTTTGTCAGCAGTGACCACCACAACTCGGAGCCCGTGGGGGTCTAGGCCCAGCTGGCATCCGATGGCGGATGACACCACCATGTCGAGGTTCTGGTAGGTGCCCCCAGCATTCCTGTGGTAGTGGCCTGAGAACACGGCTTTGACACCTGCGTGGATGAACTTGTCTGCCAACCTCTTCCGAGCGGGCTTGCTGAGGTTGAAGTAGTCGTCGTCATCCTCATCGATGCTTTTCAGGAACAGTGGGATGTGCTGGAAGACGATGGCATGCTGGCAGTTCCGCTGCCTCGCGATGTTCAGCTGCTCATCCAGCCACTGGTCCTGTGCCTGCTTCAGGCCAGGACATTTGGAGGGGTTCTCGTAGAACTGGGAGTTGAGGACCAGGAACAGCACACCTCCGACCCAGAAGCTAAAGTAGTCATCTCCCCAAGTCTGGCAGAACTCCTCAATGGTCTCGGATGTGGGGACATTGCCAATGTCGTGGTTGCCGCTGACAAGGACCAGTGGGATGGCCCTGTCCACTGTCTTGAGCACTCGCTGCAGGTCCTCTGTCTGCTCCTTCCGCCACGGCTTCCCGGGCATGGCGTGGATGAGGTCGCCGCACAGAACAAAGAATTTGGGTTTGGGGTTCAGCTTGTTGACAGCCTGGACAGCTTGCTCAGTTAGACGGATCTCCTGTCCCCATTCGTCACCACCATTGTCACAGTCCCCAGTGGACCAGGCCTTCATCAACCCAAACTGTGGGTCTGTGCCCAGGATGAAGTAGAATGGGCCTTTCCATTCCCCTTCCTTTTCTGCGGGAAACGCGTCCAGGGTCCTGTTCCGGGCTTTATGGAAAACACCCGCCGCCTCTGCAGTCGACATGGCGATCAACTTTCCGGGGTTCACTCACAACACTGCGTGGGAGGGAGCCGCGCGATTTCACACAGGCCAGCCGCTAGACCTGTCCGGCTTTGGGCAGCGCCCTTTGCTCTCGGGGCGGGACCGGGGAGGGACTGGGTGAGGCCTCAGTGTTCTAGTTTTTAATGCAATACTACAATGCAGAATTTTAATCTGTTATACATTGATATCCATGTGTCTGGAATGTCGGATGCAACTGTATTTGAAGCAAGGGATTGGGCACTCAAGAGACCATCTTAGTTCTGCTTAATCTGGAGGGTAAGAATGGCCTGTCCAACCAAGTCTGTTTCCTTCTTTCTCTCTTATATTTTCATTTTCCTCCTGGACCTTTGCATAGATGAGTAAAGAACTTGTGAGAACTATAGGTTTTATCTACTTCAGCAACTGCTCCCCACCCAAGGTACAGTGGCTCATACCTGTAATCCCAGAACTCTGGGAGGCTGAGGCTGGTGGATCCCTTGAGCTCAGGAGTTTGAGACCAGCCTGGATAACATGACAAAGCCAAGTTTCTAAAAAAATTAGCAAGGCATGGTGACGCGTGCCTGCTGTCCCAGCTACTCAGGAGGCTGAAGTGTGAAGATCACTTGAGCCCAGGAGGAAGAGGATGTAGTGAGCCGAAATGTTGCCACTGAACTCCAGCCTGGGCAACAGAGCAAGACCCTGTCTCTGGGTGTCAGAGGAAGACCACCCTGAGATAATGCACTTTTATTCCCCTTCTTTGTTACTATTGCTCCAGAAGAGCTGTTTAATATACACCTTTCTAAAAACATTGCAAACTCCTTAATAAAGTAATCTGCTTTGCACCTCCGTGACCAGGCTCTGTATGGGACACACAGTAGATACTCCCAAAAATGTGTGTTGAGTGCATGGGTTAAAGTAAAAATAAAGTAAATGGCAAGGAGGAGTTAGATATTGTTGGGTTTCAGGAAGCGAAACCCTGAAGACAGGCACTTTGGCATGCTGAGAGACTTTAGAAGCTGCCTAAGAATCAAGACCCTTCTAAAACCTTGTTTCTGCCTCCCCTAGCACAGGGTGAGTTTCTGTTTTAGTTTTTCTTACCTGATCAGGAAAGCTTCTTTCCAAGAGAAATGCAATTGTCTTAAGACTCCCTCCCTAGAAATCTCATCGAGAACCAGAAATGATCAACCATCAGAGAAAAGCAGAGACTGGGGTCACCATACTCAGAAAGACTTTGTTTTGTTGAGAAAAGGTCTCACTCTGTCATCTGGACTGGAGTGCAGTGGTGCCATCTGGGCTTACTGCATTACTGCAGCCTTGGCTTCCCGGACTCAAGCAGTCCTCCCATCTCAACCTCCCAAAAAGTGCTGGGATTATAGGCATGAGCTACTCTAACCAGCCCCAGACAGACTTTTCATCTATTCTTCTGAGGGCAGCTCTAAGAAATTACCTGGGGGACTCTATCTGCATAAAGCAATGTGTGGCACAGTTCCACGTCTCACCTTCCCTTAATGTCTGCCTTCCACCTTCCTCACCCATTCATTCTTCCCGATGATTTATTGCCCTTCAAAAGAGATGCATTCCTCATCTCCTCCCACCCCTATGAAAAAGGGTGCATAAACTTCTATACCACACTGGGTATTCAGGTAATTAATCTGTGATACCCGCCCCCCCTCCCCCCGCTGCACCCTTGAGTACATTAGTAACTTTGTACTCCTGTTCTCCTATTAATCTACCTTTTGTCAATTGCTTTTCAGCAAAACTTCAGAAGCAGAGAAAGTTTTCTCTTTACCCCTCCAAGGCATTTGGAAAACCACTTCTATAGTGGTTGAATAGTGTCCCCTCAATATTTCTATCTGTTCAAAATCTTAGAGTGTGACACTATTTGAAAACAGGATCTTTACAGATATGAGTTATGTATTTCAAGATGAAATAATCCCGGATTTGCAGTCTACTTTAAATACAATGACTAGTATTTTTATAAGGAAAAGGAGAGGCCAGGCACGGTGGCTCATGCTTGTAATCCCAGCACTTTGGGAGGCTGAGGTGGGAGAATTGCTTGAGCCCAGGAATTCAAGACCAGCCTGGGCAACATATTGAGACTCCATCTCTACTAAAAATTAATTAAAAAAAAAAAAGCTGGGTGTGGTGGTGCACGTCTGTAGTTTCAGCTACTAGGGAGGGGGAGGGGGAGGGGGGGAGAATTGCTTGAGTCAAGGAGTCCAAGAGGGCATCGAGCCATGTTGCCCCACTGCACTGCAGCCTGAGTAAGAGTGAGACTCGAAAAGAAAGAGGGAGAGAGAGAGAGAAAAGAGAGGGAGATTGGAGACAGATATACATAGAGAAGATGACCATATGAAGATGAAAGTGGAGATTGGAATTATGCTGCCATAAACCAAGAAACAGGAACCAGCAGAAACCAGAATAATCAAGGAAGGATTCTCTTCCAGAGTTTGCAGAGGGAGCATGGCCCTGCTGCCACTCTGACTTTAGACTTCTGGTCTCCAAAACTATGTGAATAAATTTCTGTTGTTTTAAGTCACCTAGTTTGTGATAATTTGTTATAGCAGTCCTAGAAAATGAACACACCATCGTTTGGACTGCAACTGTGATCTGAGATGATTGAAAAATGACTGCAAACTTATTTTCTCTTCTCATTCCCACAGAACTAAGAAAAAAATACACAGGCATACCTCAGAGATAGTGCGAGTTTGGTTACAGATCCCCACAGTAAAGATAGTATCACAATAAAACAAACCTCATAAAATTTTTGGTTTCCCAATACGTACAAAAGTTATGTTTAAACTATACTATAGTCTGTTAAGTATGCAATAATGTTATGTCTAAAAACCTCAATGGACAAATCTTAATTTAAAATTTCTTTTTTTTGAGTCTTGCTCTTTTGCCCAGGCTGGAGTGCAATGGCATGATCTTGGCTCACTGCAACCACCACCTCCCAGGTTCAAGTGAGTTTCCTGCCTCAGTTTCCCAAGTAGCTGGGATTACAGGCACATGACACCATGTCCAGCTAATTTTTGTATTTTTAGTAGAGACAGATTTTGCTGTGTTGGCCAGGCTGGTCTCAAACTCCTGATCTCAAGTGATCCGCAAGCCTCAGCCTCCCAAATGCTGGGATTACAGGCGTGAGCCACCAGGTGCAGCCTAAAAATATTTGTTGCTAAAAGAATGCTAATGATCATCTGAGCCTTCAGTGAGTTGTCATCTTTTTCGCTGGGGGAGGGCCTTGCCTTGATGTTGATGGCTGCTGACTGATCAACATGTTGGTTGCTAAAGGCTGAGTTGACTGTTACAAAATCTCTTGAGATGAAACAATAATAAAATTTGCCACATCAATTGACTCTTCCTTTTGTGAAAGATTTATCTATAGCATATGATCTGTTTGATAGTATTTCACCCACAGTAGAACTTCTTTCGAAATTGGAGTCAGTCTTCTCAAACTTCGTCACTGCTTTATCAACTAAGTTTGTCATATTCTAAATCCTTCGTTATTTTAACAACATTCAAAATGTCCTTCCCAGAAGTAGATTTCATCTCAAGAAATCACTTTCTTTGCTCAACCATTGGAAGCAACTCTTCATCTCTTCAAGTTTTATCTCGATATTGTAGAAATTCAGTCACATCATCGGATGCCACTTCTAATTCTAGTTCTCTTGCTATTTCTATCACATCTGCCATTCCTTCCTCCACCAAAGTCTTGAATCTCTCAAAGTCATCTATAAGGAAGAAGAATCAACTTCTTCCAAACTCTTGTTAATGTTGATATTTTGACTTCCTCCAGTGACTAATAAGCATTCTTAACGGCATCTAGAATGGTGAATCTTTTCCAGGTGTTCAACTTTTCCCAGACTCATCAGATGAATCACTATCTATTGAAGCTGTAGCTACCTGAAACATATTTCTTAAGTAAGAAGATTTGAAAGTCAAGGTTACTCTTGATTCATGGGCTACAGAATGAATGTTCTATTAGCAGGAATGAAAACATTAATTTTGCAGAACTCCTTCAGAGCTCCTGGGTGACCAAGTGCATTGTCAAAGAGCAGTCATACTTTGAAAAGAATCTTTTTTTTTTTCTTTTTTTCCCTGAGCAGTAGGTCTCAATGTGGGTTTAAAATATTCAGTAAACCATGCTGTAAACAGATTTTCTGTTTGAAATATCAGAAAGTTTGAATTGTTGAGAGAATCACCAAAACTGAACATGAGACACGAAGTGAGCACATAATGTTGAAAAAAATAACACCAGTCACCAGTAGACTTGCTGGACACAAGGTTGTCACAAATCTTCAATTTGTAAAAAATGCACCAACAGCAAAGTGCAATAAACCAAAGCACCATAAAACGAGGTATGCCTGTATTATACTAAGTGTATAATAGGATATGCAAAGACATACACATAATTTTACATATGTCATTGCTAAAATTATTTCCCCATTTAACAAATGAGCACATAGGGGTTGAAAGAGTTTAAATAACTGGTGTCAAAAAGTGTGTAATAATAAGAGCTAATATTTGAGTGACTACTCTGTGTTAGACACCATCCCAGGCTCTTTATATAAATTAGCTTATCCTGACAGCAAAACAATACAGATAGGTACTTTTCAATATTTCTCTTTTTAAAATGAAGGAACTGAGGCACAGAGTGTAAATGATGTGCCCAAAGTCTCTAGCACTTGGCAAAGGAAGGATTTGAACCCAAGGAGGATGATTCTAAAGCCCAGGTGCTATGCTGTATGTGGACACTGTTGCTCACCCCCTGCCCCACCCGCAACCCCGCCTCTGATTTCACAGGCACTCCACACACCCACTAACTGCCCTTTAGCATCTTGTCCATGTGGTTCCATTATCTCATCAATTTCCAACAGAATGCTTTCTTTAACTCTCTTGCCAGTGCTCTTATCACATCAAAATAGCAATAAAGTATGCCTATTTTTCCTGATTTCAGAGCTAATCTTTACAAAATGCTTTTGATATTTGAAGCAAATCTAGTGGCCAAAATATAACGTAAGCTTCTATGATGTGTTCTGTTTGGGATCCCAGCAGCAAAGCCTATCTGTTTTGTCTGCATCATTTGATCAAAGTCAGTATTCTGCATTTATAGGTGTAGGCAGTTCTGAAGGC